ATAATAATAATAATAAATACAATGATAATAATTGGCCCTTAAATGTTTACAAGTAAAAGTTTGGGGAGCAAACTTTAAGCCGAAAGCTGACAAACGAATTGTCACCACATCTCCTCGACTGCCCCACCCACTCCCTCTAATTTCTATATATATTTTTTTACAGAGTTAACTGACGCAACGAACAAACAATCCAACCGTTAAAATTGAACGTTGAATAGTAAGTCCAAAAAATTAGTACAGGACGTGCCACGGTGTGATTCAATTGTCTGGGGAGAAATGGCCAACTTTTGGAACCTTCAATTCAAATAACAACCACTTTCCATGACATTACATAGAAATTCCAAATTCAAATGAATATGTCGTCCCACAATGCACAAATACACACCATAGTTGAATTTTAAGAAGTTGGAAAGGTTTTGTGGTTCACACAAATTAATTTTGTTTGAAATTTTAAAAACATGACATTTTACATTTTTCAGACACGCAGATTATTCACCTAGGGGCCTATGTAACGTCCTCTTCATTGGAGTCTATATAAGTTTTGTGGAAATTGGTTCAAAGATGACCGAGTTATTGCCCTTTGTATGGGTCCTCCTTTTTCCAGACACTCGGTAAATAATACATAGGCTATACATAGCTTATTAATTCAACTATTTCATATGCTTATAATTTTCCAAGGATATCTGGTCTTTGCTGTTTTAGTCTAAATGGAAGACTATTCTTTTCTCCAGAACGGTTAATTTGAAGAAGAAAAATAGGTTTTGATGAAATTGCGCTTCTTTCATGTTATCAAAGAGTCGATAGACGTTGTTATATTCATTTTGCAATACTCTGCCTTGTCACCTTACTCACTCCCCCAAAAAAGCTTAAAATAATTTTTTTATCAGACAAATTACACACTTAATATGTTTTGCTTTTACTCTTAAACTTAAAACCACATTTCAACGGGTACGAGTCGATATCGTGCTGAACCCCAGCGTTGATTGTCTTGTTTCAAATTGCAAAAAATGACGTTCCTTAATTAGCTTGATTATCTTAAAGAATTTCCAAGACGTTCTATATGCAATTAACTCAGTTTTATTGGACGTTGCCTTAGGAGGATCCGTTTCTATTTTGGCGTTACAGCCAGAATATGCCATCCTCTACCTCTTCGAGAATAAGGCTATTTTCCTATAAGTGCACACGACATCTAACTATTGCAAGGATACAATGTGTTCATCGTTCAGTATTTCTATAGATTTTTGGTTCTCTTTCTTTTTTTAATTTTTGGGAGGAGCTCAGCACCTTTTTATATTCATTCAAAACACATTTCTGTGTGGATTTTTAAAACTGAAAACCGTTGGTCAAAAGCGCAAAGACTGTATAAGTGCAGTTTCAAAGGACTCTCAAATTTGGAAGTCACCAAACGTAGGCTAACCTCTGATACCTGGAGACCCCCTACCTGCTTCGATCAAAAATAATCCGACTTGTATTCAAGATAGATGAGTATTTTTCTCGTAACAAACAAGACAAACAAGCTTTAAGATGATACTAATAACTCTATATGTCTCAAAACGGACGAACGCCTGGCTCCACCGTGCCATGATACATTTGGTCAAGAGATACCTGAGACATACCAGTGAAAACGTGGACATGAGGTTTTTTCATCAGAATTCTCAAGGTGTTCTTATTCGGACCCCGGGGTGTGATTAATCAGATCATTATTCGGACCCCCCCCCCTTCTTCCCCCTCCCTTTCTGTATTTAGACCCCGCTGTCCGGGTTCCGGTTGGGGCGTGGCCCTCGGTTTGAGCCCGTATCAGTCCGGCCCTCCTAGTCCTAGCTCAGCATACGTGCGCAGAGCATCATCAGTGTGATGACTGATGACCGTGTGCGTGCGTCAGTCTGGCTTGATTTTGTGGGCGTTTGTGGCCTACTTGTAGGCTAGAACCGCTTGCATTGGTTCATAATCGAGGCGTACGTCTCATTCAAAACACAGTCGGTAGCTTTATATGTTCCTCTAATGAAATTATAGCAAATTGACCCTCTAAGACTCCCATCTCGGCACAGACGCAGAACAGGAGTTAAGTCCAGGTTCTGTGTGTGTAGGTCTACTTTTTTTGTTAGTTTGTTTTGTCTGCTGAACACAAATTTGACTCCATTTACGTGGCAAATCATAGCCTGAAAACTACATTCAGGGCGTCGTGAACGTAGTCTGTAAACTAGATCTAGATCTAGATCTAGATTTAGATCTACATTCACAGCATCGCTGCGTTTTTCAAAAACACTAAAACCAACACGCCAATAAGTTTCTTCACCCCGGATGAAAATAAACAAGCATCCCATATCAATACATGTAGCCTACCAGTTCCCGGGGAATAATCGGAGCCAATTCTCAGACCTTTTGTGCGCTGTGTAGGTCTATAGATGGGAGAATGCACAACCCTGTCAAATTAAATATCGAGCCTGAAAACACTAACAAAATTAAATGAAACGCACAGTAATTGTGACTGATTTTGTTCTTAATTTTAGGAAGCAAAATACAAACCAAAGCAGTTGAAACAATAGCGCTTTGGAAGAAAACAAATCTAACCTTTGATGACAAAGTTCTGGCTCAGAAGACTTTGTCTGTTGTCGAGGAGGTAAAGGCACGAGTAGACGTTCTCATCATCTTTCGTTACGGACTCAAAGAATATCGTGCTGTTTGTTTCATTTGTAATTGGGGCAAAGTTCCGATACCATGCGTATCCCGTGATTCTGCTTGCATTGACAGTTGCGTCGACTTGGCAGGTCAAGGTCAGATTCTGGTTCAGGCTTTGCAGCTTAGGTTGTGAAGTCACGATTGGAGACTCTGATGAGTTGTTACAAATACCAACAAAATATGATGGGGGTGGGGGATGTCAAAGAAAAAAGTATTAACACACATAATAAGATGAACGAGCGAATGACTGAAAGAACAAATACAAGGTAGGTGCGTCTCATATAGATATAGATAAGTTGTCTCCTTAACTTCTAAACCATTCCGCCTTGAACGCTGGAATGTTATGATGTTTTAGATGCACACATTGTGATTGCTGTGCTAAAGTTGTTTAATCAGAATATTATTTTGACATGAGCTATGATGTGTCAAAATATCATGTGTATTTACGTTTAAGAGCAAAGTAATGACAATGGCGCCAGAAAACATCTCCAAACTGAATAACAATGACCTTTTCAAGATACGATGTTAGTTACCGGTATTTTGAAATTTATATTATGCTGGGTGCACCTGTTGTTAAAACACACTTTGATCTATACAAAGCATTGGGCATGCAGGCCTCTTTAGGACTTAAACACTGGGTTAGAGAAGTTTAAAATGAAAGATCTGAAGTGGAAGGTCATGGTCACTATGGTACACCTGCTGCATGTGAAGAAAATGTTGGGAAAATAAGGTCTGCGGTTGAAAAAGATAGAAGAACTTTTGAAGAAATGAGTGACGGTGTTAAAAGCTACTGTTTAAATAGGTTTAACGAACCCCTCCCCCAACTGTTTAGAAGAAAGTCTTCGGAAGATGGGTTCAGCATGAGCTAACAGAAGACCCCCCCC